AGTAATCTTCAAAGCTCTTAACTAATTAAGAGAGAATGAGAGGGAGAAGAATAATTTCGACCATTTGCATCAAGTAGCAAGAGTGAGTGCAAGCCTCATCTTTTATATGCATAAAGTGATTTTATGGACCAAAAGTCCTTAACACTTTAAGACAATAATTTTTCCTAAAGCCTACTTGTCTCCCATGCCTTTAAAGCATGGTTTCTTTCTCTTTAAATATTCAAAAACCATCACTAGCATGCAAGCATGCATGCTCATGGTTTTAAGAAGAATAAAGAAGTCAAAGTTGGTAAATTTTATAAACTCTTTTATAAAATATAAATCTTAACCATTTGGTAAAAGACAAAAAGTCATTTTGGTCCAAAATGTTGTACATAACTTAATAAATCATACCATATGATAATTATGTTACTTGCTAATGAAAATTGTTATTTCCATGAAATAAATAATTTCCAATTTAATTATAAGAGTTTATTGAATATTTATTAAAATCAATTTCTAATAAATAATCAATTATATCAAGTTGTTAGTGTGACCCGTTAGTATCATATGTTAATTAGCAATATCACTTTAATATGACTCTTGATCATACTAGACCTTTTAATATCTTCGTGGGTAGGGATTGGATGCTCTGTGTTTGGGAAGTGAGGGTCAAAGTGGAAGTATAAGGCGTATAGGGAGGCGGTACTCTGTTTTTGTATAAGGGATTGAACATTATACTGAGATGATGGGCTTGAAATTGGTTCACCTGTAAGGGTGATAACTTTTGGCCTAATATTAAAAGTGAGTTGTGGAATTGAGAAGTCTGCTAGGATTGGGCCTAGTGTGCTTAACCATGTGATACCTAATATGACATCGACACCTTCCGTTGGGAGGATAAAAATAGGAATTGTAAATGGCGTCTTTTGGAGGTGAATTTCTAGGGCAGTGCATTTACCGGCGCATTGGAGATTGCCCACCATGACCGAAAATTCTTGAATCTCTTCATGAGGGAGCTTTAAGGCGGTAACAATTCTTGGTGGGATTATGTTATGAGTGCTACCTGAGTCGACGAGGATTTTGACAGGGTGGTTGTTAATGTACCCAGTAACACTGTGGGGTGTCCAATCTCAAGAAGGCGGTCGTCGAAAGATACATAAATTGGTCCGTCGGCGTGTTCACGAAGGTGGTGGTGTTGTCAGCCACTGTTTTTTGAAGATCGGGTAATGGTTCGTCTTCGTTATCAACAATCATTAGAAACTGAGGGGGGGATACATTTATGGTCTGGACTATATTTAGCTAGACATCGAAAGCATAGCCCTTCGACGCGTCTTTTTTGGAGGGCTTATGGGGAAAGGCTGGTGAATGGGAGGGTGAGTTGTGATGGAGGGTTGGTGATGAGTGGTATGGTAGTTGTGATTTTTTCTGGTGTGGATGGGGGTATGGGTGATGAGCTTGGGAATGAGCTAGATGAGAATCTGGAGTTTGTATAGCGAGGTTTATTAGCTAGCTTCTCTTCAATAAGTTTAGCAAGGCCATAAGGTTGATGGAGTGTGGTGGGGTTGTGTATAGAAATCTGGTTTTGGATGTCGGTTCTAAGCCCGAAAGAATTAATTGAAAACTTGGAATGAAAATGGTCGTGGACCTTATGCACTCTACTTCACGTGAGCTAATATCTAGCCACTATTACCGAAAAAAAGGAAAGAATTAATCAACTTGGACCAATTCTCTTGCAGGTTGTTTCTTCCATTAGTCTCTAAATCGGACGGGCTTGCATATTGTACGTTTGGGCCTCTGGTGATCTTCAGTTGGGCTGTCTTGCATTGGTCTCGTATCATAGCTACAAAGAGAACCCAATTGTGTTTAGCTTAGCAAATTGAAATTGTGGCTTTTTATTGTTCCTTAGTTAGGTTAAATCCTCAATCACACGTGTTCATTCAATATTGTAATTTCTACCATGTACTTCATTATACAAGTTGATTTGTACCACCCATTAACATCGTTTTGCAGAACTACATTCAAATCTAACAACGAAAATAACATGATCATCTGTTACATTTGGTTTTATCCTAATGAGTAATCTGTATCTTCTATCACTAAACAAACAATCTAAAAGAACAGTCTAGATTATGATGGTTTTAGTATTCTCAAACCTAATTGAATTATCTTAGCACAAAAAGATGAAAAAAAAAGATACTAGAATATATGATTAATAGATGATATTACTAGAAGAATCAGTGATAGTGGCATTTGGTGGATAGGAGAAAAGCAAAAGATCAATGTTAAGAACATGAACAAAAAGGAATGATCAAGACCAGTACTACTACTGTTGTTAATTAATTAACGATCAAAAAGGAATTAATATGCTTACGTCCGGTGGTTGGTAGCGAAGCGAGTGGTGGCCGGGCGAGATACCAGTAACATCGTCGGTTGTGTTGTGGGCAATGAATGGTCGTGTTCTACGGAGTGATTATCGATCTTATTCAAGTTTTACACGGGATACACTTACCTTTCATATCTTATTTCATCTTTTTTTAAATGATCATATCTACCCTAATAAATGAAAATGTTTTTGCCACTTGTCATTTCCTCAAGATTTTTGCCACGTGTTATTATGTGATATTTTTGAATTACTTAAATTCTACATGTCATTATGTGGTATTTTTATTTTTTTGTTAATAAAAAAATTAATCAATTATATTAATTAACACCTATATTATTATATATGTAAAATATTTATTATATTAAATGTGTAGATCAACATTATAATTAATGAAACATTTATTATTTAAGGTAAATATATTTTTCTCCATAAAATAAATTTAATGATAAATAGTTTGTTTTTTCTACCACTAAAAACATTTATTATGATTTTTTTGTTACATAAATTAAAATAATGAAATGTTATAAAACAATATTGTCAAATTGAGATATAATAAAATATACTTTGTTAAACTTTGAGATGAAATAGGCATTAAAAATATTTAATGTATACACCTTCATATAAAACTTTTATTTTTAATAAACTCGTATAACATATGGGTTTAACATCTAGTATAGTTATATATTCTTTGGATTTAAACTTGTATCACGTAGGCCTTCTTCAGCCCTTCACTTAATATTTCACATACGACGGAGCCTTTGATTTAGGAGGGAAAAGAAATAAAGCAACGGCAAAGTATAAGATATGATGTGGGCAATGCTGCTGGATTTGTTTAAGTATCGAAATTATCGACTTTGAATACAACAAATAAGTCTGAATTCTGAAACATAAAACACCTCCAACTTCAACTTAATTATAACAACTCTAGCTACTCGATTTCTTTTCTGAACCGTATATATGATGCTTCATAATGTATGTGAAAATGGTCTATTGAAAATTGAAATGACTAAAACATTAAATTAAATAGAAAAAATATAAAAAATATATCAAGAGGGCAATTTAGTCATTTCAATTTTCACAGGGACCATTTTTACATACAAACTAATCCAAAAAGACCACTAATCCAAAAAAGTCGGGGTTTGGACTAAAACCCAAAAAAAATACATACCACAGAGACCATTTTTATAATTTTGTCTATTTTTTTTTAATCTACATCAAAACCAGTGGCAGTCAAGGGTGGGTTATAGCCCACCCAATCCACATTTTAAGTTCGTAATATATAGTATCTTTTATTATACAAAGAAAGTTGGGCTTCATATGACTAATGGCCCAGCCAATAACAAACATGAAATTGCATATAGTAGAATACTGCCTCTTTTTGACAAGTATAATACCTTTTTCCATTCAAAAATTTATGATGCCCATTTTTTAATAGTTCGCTCAGATGTTCACTCTTTCTTATTTCATTTGTTCATCAATCATCATCATCAGGTTAGTTTGTGATTTTTTTTCTATTATCCTAATTAAGTTTGTGATTTTTTTTTCGATTATCCTAATTACTCAGTTACTTTATTATTGTTTTTATTTTTAGCATAAATTTTATATTTTTATCTTAGGTTTCTAATAAATTAGGTCATTACTTCTTGCTATAAATTAATTATTTGTATTATGGTATTATATGTAAGTTTGTTTTGTATAAAATACAGGAGTATGTTTGTTATTGAAATTTTTTGTGATTAGTGAATTTTGTTGAGCAATAAAAACAAAGCAAAAAATATTAGATTCGTTTTTATGTTTAATTTTTTATGATCAGAGAATTTTGTTGAGCAATATGAAAAAAGCAAAAAATATTAGATTCGTTTTTATGTGTAATTTTTTGTGAATAGTAAATTTTGACATATCCTAAAACAAAATATTGGTTACGTCACTGACTCCAACCCCACTCCACTTCTTGCATCATTGTAAAATGTCACCCCATGTATTATGATATTTATTTATTTCTAGTTTATAAATATGACTATATATTTTATTAATATTATGTTATATAGTAAATTGATAATAGTTAATAGTATTTATTTGGTTATAATTTGTAGTAATATATTTTACAAAGTTATTACTACAAAATGATAATAAATAAATTTGTAAAAAGTTAATAAGTTGAATGGTGTTTTTGACAATTATAAACAAAGAATATACTAATGAATATATTTTTTGGTGTAGAAAATGGTGTTAAAAACTGACTAGAGTTATTGTATTATTTTTTTTTTATGCAAAAGAAAATAGTTGAGTTGATTGTATAAGATGGTTTAAGAAGTTGAGTTTTGATGAGTTATTTCAACCTTTAATTTGATTGGACTATGGAGTGGAACGCATATAACCTTTTAGCACTATGATAACTTTTTAGATTTTAGTTTTTACCGGAACAGAAGCCTGGTAACGCTTTAGGTCAGCTTGTAAACCTTTTTAGCTTAATTTTAAATTTTTATGAATAATTAATGCAGAAGTAGGCATCGTCATTTACATGTTTTCACTTTAGACAGTTGTAGATTAAAAAAAAACATAAAGAGACCCAGATAAACATATTCATTCAAAAGCAAACCGACTGTAAAAAAGTAAAAATTAGCACCACTGGCTCTACCTCTAGATAAAACGTGAAAACAAGTATGACATTCACAATGCTACAAAGTACAAAGTGCAAACCAAGCAAGCAAGCTCTCTAAAAATAGCTTCTCCAGATCAAATGGGAACATAGCATAGGTGGGCGGGCCTCCTCTCTCTTCTCCCTAATAAACCCAAAATATTCCGTACATAATCATACATACATGATACAACTTGCAACGTTTAAAAACAAAACACACTAAAATTACTCCATAACTATAGACGAAAAAAAAAGGTAGTAAATGTGTTTGTTATTATGAAGTGAATCAATCTCCTTTAGTCGAAGGCTCAACACAAGCACAAAAGTTGCTCTTCTTTCTTCTCCCACTGCTGCTAACAGTTGCTTTTGTTCTTCCAGCACCATAAAGATAATCTTTCAAAAGAACTCGTTTTTTAGTATCCATAAAACGAGATTTTCCTTGTGCCTCATTTTCATCATCCAGTTTCAACAACACGAATTGTATCTTTTGCACTTCTAACTGCAACCGGCCGATTTTTTCAGATACTCTTCTCGCTTGTTCAGACACCTTTTTCCTTCTCATGCTTTCGTTTTCTACCGATTCCGGTGTTGTTGATGAGTTGGAATGGCCCTCGATATGTTTCACCAGTTTTCCATTCAGTTCGTATAGCTTTTGAATCGCGGATTCCGCTTCCATGAGTTGGCCTTTCAACGTCTCGCATTCGATCATTGCTTTTCCTCTTCTGCTGTTTCCGGTTATCTCGACTTTCCGTTTTAGATCCTCGATTGTGATTTGAAGGTTTGTAAGCTTTTGAACATCGGAATTCAGTCTTTCCAATACTTTTCTTTTGTTTCCGTCGTCTCCCCGGAATCTCTTCGACACCTCTGGTTTCCCCATCTCCATCACCACGTTTGATTCCGATTCCAGAGTTTCCAGAGACACCTCGGAGGCGGTCGGATGGTGTCGGAATTTATCGGCACTCTCCCATGCCTCACCTTCAATTGGTCCTCTTTTACTCATCCCATATGAGGAACATTCCGATGCTTGATCCAACATGATGTCTTTTGGTAGGATTCCGATTTCCACTTCCGAAATTTCCGATGTCGATTTCGGCTTACTGTTTGATTTACGGGAACTCTTTTGATAACTCAATTCCTCTATCTGCCTCATTGCTGATTCCAGCTTTGCTTCGGAATCCAACCTGTCCTGCACTGCCAACATCTGCATTTCAAGCACAGCGGTTTCGATAGATCTAACCTTACTTTCAAGATCCTGCAGCTCAACAGATGGATCCTCTTCCATGCTTGAGGATTCAGCACCCTGAAAATACTCATCATTACAGAAACACGTCATTCTAAATTACTCCAAATACAAACATATATAATAATAATAATAATAATAATAATAATAATAGGGTCAGGGTCAATAGAGAACCATAATTAAACAAGAAACCAAATAACCAATCATGAGAATCGGAATCCAAATGGTTAATGACCAAAGATGGGGATGTACATTTACTAGTTGGACATGAATGCATTGGATCATAGGGGAGAAAAAAACTTCTTTTTTTCATTTTTTCATATTTTAGGCATTATTTTTTTTTGAAAAAAAAAACTAAATATTCCAAAATTCACAATGTGAATCTGAACTGTCCAAATTCACACTGTAACCTCATATAATTCAGTTTTTAGCAATGTGAATATTCCAAAATTCACAATGTGAATCTGAACTGTCCAAAATTCAAAATGTGAATCTGACTTCCTATTTCAATGCTTTGATCATTCATAAATTAATTTAGTGAGATTCACACGTGAATGGGTCTACATATTCACATTTACATATGAATCAAAGTAGGTTCATTTCCTTTCATACTATTTCAATGTTTTGATTATTCATAATGAGATTTGTGAAATTTACAAGTGAATTTATCTCAAATTCACATGTAAATTTACGTAGATCCCCACATATCAATATCATATTAACCAAATTCACATTGTAAATGCCAACAATTAAATTATCACACAGTTCATATTCACATTGTAAATCTGAACGAGCTGTAAGGTTAACAAAATCAATTTTTTGTATATCAATATGGATGTCTTTTTACAGAGGACAAAAAATTATGAATTTTGATATATTTGGTTTTTTTTTTTTTTTTTTTTTTACAAAAAGTATGCCCTAAAAATTTAAAAAAAAAAAAAGGTTTTTGCTATAATCCGGTGCAAGCGCATCCAACTAAGAAATATACAACCTTATATTTGGCGGTAGATTGTTTGCGATACGACACTTACGATTGCTGCCTTGGTTCCCTGTTTAATTATGGTTCTCTATTGAACTTTTGTATATATATATATATATATATATATATATATATATATATATATATATATATATATATAAAATAAAATATTACCTTGTGTTCTTCATTTTCAGATTCTGGAACTTTGGTTCTAATACAGGTATGGCTTTCGAGAGATAAAATGGAATCCCTCAATGACACGAGGGCAGGGAGATATACAGCCAAACGAGCTTTGAGGTCTTCATTCTCGGATTCCAAAGTTTCAGTTTTTTCTTTGAGTAATTTGGAATTGACATCTTTGGAATTAGTTTCTTCTTGGAGGCTCAAACAAACCTGAGTAAGTTCACGAATCTTCTCTTCTAATAAAACTTGATATAAACCAGAAGTCTGCAAATCACCATACACTTCTGATGCCTGTGTTTCCAACATTTGATTCTTGTCCTTTTCCTTTTCCAACTCGGAACTCGTTGTCTCCTCTTTTTGTTTTGCTTTTTCGTGTTCTTCGGTCAATTCATGCAGTTTGACCTCCAAAAGCTGACTTGCTTCACGTAGGAGCATACGTTCTTTACTCAAATCATTGGTATCTTCTAGAAGTTTGACAATCTGTTTCTCCTGTTGGTCTCTTGCCATTTTAACTTCACTGTTTTCTCTCTGTAAACCGGTCAACATCTCGGTCAACACCATCTTTTCGTTCTCTAAAGTCACCAGTTTTTCAACCGCTTCCTCATGCTCCTTTTCCTTTGCATGCAACCGATTGTTTCCGTTCACTAACTCGGAATCCAATTCATCACAGACACGTGTCACCGTTTCCAATTCCCGTTCGGATTTCTCCAAATTCTGTTTGAGTTGCAGATTTTCATTTCTCACATCTTCCATTTTCTTCTCAACAATACCGATCTCGTTAGCAAGAGTGTTATTGACAAGAAGAAGCTTTTGCAGATTTTCACCGAGCCGATTGACTTCATCATGTTTCTCATCAAGGGACTTCTTCAAATCATCATTATCTTCTAACAATTGGATAATCTGTTTCCCTTGTTCATCTTTTGTCATATGTACCTCATTGTGCTCTCTCTGTAGACTGGTCAACATCTCTGACAACCCCGTCTTTTCATTCTCGAAAACTGTAAGTTTTTGGACTGCTTCCTCATGTTCCTTTCTCTTTAAATGCAACAGATTGATTCCGTTTGCTAACTCAGAATCCAATCTATCACGTTCGGATTTAATCGTTTCCAATTCATGCTCGGATTTTTCCAAATCTTGTTTAACATGCAGGTTTTCAATTTCCACCTCTTCAAGTTTCTTCTCAACAATCGACATTTTGTCAGCAAGTGTGTTGTTGACAACAAGAAGCTTTTGAAGATCTTCACCAAGCCGATTGATTTCTTCATGTTTCTCATCGAGGGAATCCTTCAAATCATCATTATCTTCCAACAATTTCACAATCTGTTTCCCCTGTTCATCTCTTGTCATTTTAACCTCCTCATTTTCTCTCTGCAAACCCGATAAAATCTCGGATAACCCCGTCTTTTCACTCTCTAAAATCATCAGTTTCTGAACCGCATCCTCATGTTCCTTTTCCTTTAAACGCAACAAACTGATTCCGGTGACCAACTCCGATTCCAATCGAACACGGTCGGAATTAGCCGTTTCCAATTCCAGCTCGGATTTCTCCAAATTCTCTTTAAGACGAAGATTTTCGGTTCTTGCATCCTTAAGTTTCTTCTCAATCACAGACATTTTGTCAGCTATTGTGCTGTTGACAACAAGAAGCTTCTGTAAATCGCCACCTAACCCATTGACTTCTTCATGTTTCTCATCAAGGCAAGTCTTCAAAGTATGAGAGAGGATACTCTGACTTAATACATCACCAAAAAAGACGTCGTTTTCCTCTTCCAAAACACGAATCTTGTTGTTCATGTGAATCTTATCTTTTGATAAGGACTTGTTTTCTTCCAGGACCACTGAATTGTCCATCTGTAAACTTCTGTAAGCTTCTTGAACAACCAACATCTCTCCATGTAACTTCTCTAATTGAGATTTTAGCATTTTTTCAGTATTATCTCCTTCACTCACTTTCAATCTCAAATTATCATTCGTTTCTGAAAGCTTCCGTGCCTCGGTTTCCAGCTCGAGAATCTTTGCCATCCCGGCACTTAACTCGTGTTGAACACCACCCTTTTCCGCCTCGAGATCCGCCACTGCGGTTTTGAGCTGCTTCAAAAGCGTGACTAGGATCGATATCTCAACAACCAATTCTGTGTTTTTGTCTTGATTTTCAATTAGGGAACGGTTTGTTCCTTCGAATTTTGTCTGTATACTATCGAAAGATCTTTCATGTTGGTCAGTTTCAAATCCAGAGTTCAAAGAAACACCAGCAACTTTCAGCAACTGGTTCATTCCCATCTTCAATCTATTGTTCTGGTTAGATAAAGATTCTATCTTTACCTGGCTTTCGATTTTCTCTTGCTTCAACACATGAACCAGACCTTCAGACAACATGGTGGCTTCTTGAAGTTTATGGCAATCATTCAACAGAGAAACATTCTGTTCTTCCAAATCTTGTACACATCTAAGCAAGATGAAGATTTCGATTTCAGAACCGAAAGCTTTATCGAGCTCTTCTTCGAATTCTTTGCTTCTATTCCGATTCTCTTCTTCTAGGATCTGAATCTGGGTTCTCAATGTACTCAATTGTTTCTCATTCTGTTGTGAAAAGGAGACGTGCTCTTGATTTTGTAAAGCTAATGATGCGTGTAGCTCTTCTACTTTGTGAAGTGTAGAGTCTCTCTCTTTCTCCATTGAAGAATACTTTTCTTGTAAATCTGTATATTTCATCTCCAGATCCTTGAGGTTTTTCTCGGTGATTTCCATCTGCGAGACGAGAATACTCTTTTCGGAAATGAGTACTGATTTTTCATCAGTAAGCAATTGACATGAATCTTCAAAGCTCTTTGACTTCTGCTTCAAGACTTCAAGTTTGACATGGGCATCAAAAAGAGAATTCTCCAAAACAGTGTTTTTCTCCGACACTATGCTCAAATTATCACTCGTTACTTGTAACTGGCCTAATAAATTTGCTTTTTCAACAGAAAGTGTAGATTTCTCTTCTGAAAGAGACTGATACGAGTCTTCGAGAGCTTTTAATCTACTCCTTACCCCTTCCAACTCTTCGCCCAGATCCGAAAGCGAATTCTCCAAAACGCCATTCCTCTCAAGAAGCTGATTCATAATTTCGAGTTTCACCAACAGAGCTTCTTTTTCACTTTTTTCTGTTTCCCATTGTTCTTTCAGATTCAAGTTCTCACCCTGCAACTCTTTTACAGATGCCCCCAAGCTTTCTGGGTTCAACCCCACATCTGCAACTTGGTTCACAACAGACTGGTGATTCTTGTTCAATTCGTTAAGTTCCTCTTTCAGGCAATATATTTCTTGCTGAAGCGCGTTTCTTTGGTCAACTCGAAGGTCAACCTCTTCCACAAGCTTCCCGTTGGATTCCTTTAAGCTACCGATCTGTGACTGCATCTCGTTCATGGACACAATCGAAGACATGTTGACCTCGGTCAGATTCTTGTTCTCTTCAATCTGTTTCTGTATCTCTTTCTCTAAAACTTGGTTACGTGTTTCAATATCCCTCAAAATCTGAGCTTTATTGTGTAACTCTGTAGCCAAAGATCTTAATTCTTCTTGAGATTGGGAATGTAACTGTTGCAAAGTCTGGAATGCAGTTTCGGCCTCGACAAACCGTAGTCTTTCTTCTTGTATGCAAGTCCAGAGTCTTCCCAATTCCTTTTGCTTCTCTGTTAGTTCTTGTGTTTGAGTGTTCATCTTCAGAATCACGGATTCCAACTCCGAGTGAAGACTCTCATTTGACCTTTCTAACATCACCCGTTGTTCTTCTGCACCCTTTAACTTTAAAACTCCATCATCGATCTCGTTATTGAGTCTTTCAGCTTCCTCTTGAGCACACGCGAGTCTAAGCTCTAGACTTGAGATAGTCTCCAAGCACTGCTGGTGTAACTTAGCTTGTTCTTCTTTCTCTTTGGTCAATTCTGCAATTGCCACCTTTAAGTTTTCAACTTCAGTTTCGGCCTTTTCAGCACGTTCATGGAACTTCATTACTTCTTTCTCTGATTCCGTTAACTTCTTTTCCAATTCCGATTGCATCTCCAAAGATTGTTTATACTGATCATAAGCAGCATCCTTTTCCTCTTTCAATCTTGCAATTTCTTCCTTCAAGTTTCCAACTACAATCTCAGCTTCCTTTTCTTGCTCGATTATCATTCTCTCCAAGTTGGCTAGCTTCTCCAAGCCCCTGTGGTAAAGTTCAAGATTTTCTCCAGTTTCAGCTTTTAATCTTTGAAGGGCATCTTTCAATGATTGAGCTTCAGCTTCAGCTTTGCTTGCTCGATTAACAAGTTCACTGGAAGCCTCTTGTGCATGAGAGATTTCAGACTCTAATTTGGATAATCTCTCCAGACTTTCTTGATACTGCTTCAGACCAGCTTCCTTTTCCTCTTGTAATTTAGCCAAAGCCTCTTTTAGCAATAAGATTTCTTTGTCAGTCATGCCCACGTTCTCGATTACAGAGAACCCTCGATCCCGAGACCGATTTTTGTTGCTTCCATCTTCTGAATCATTGAATTTAAGCCCTCTTCTCACGTTTCCTACAGACCCATCAGAATCTTCATCTTTCAGGAAGTCATTGGAGTCAAAAGTGGTTCTTGTGTCTGGTGTTTGAGGATCACCATCATAGGGGGAATTAACAGAAGGATCATCACCCATTGAGGGGATTTGATTTGGAAAGGCTTCTGTCATTGTTTTGTGGGCCTGGCGGAGGGCCCCGGTTGCATGGACATATCTTTCTGCCAAGGCCCGATAAGCTCTGTACATCTCTTCCACCAGTTTCATAAGCTCGGGACGCTTTTTGTAGTACATTTCTGCCCTTCGAGCAAAGGAATCTGCGTCTTCTTCAATGAGCTTTATCATTGCTTTTACTTTGATATCCACATCTATTCATTCATACAAGGAAAAAAAAACATTAATGATAAGGAAAACCACAGAACAAGAAATAACAAAATAGCTAAAGTATGCAACATACCCTGTATATATCCAAGTATTAAATAGAAGTGCTAGTTATAATAACTCCAATTACACAACACAGATGAAAGTCGTAACATTTTTATTTACCCTAAAGTGGTAATTTCTGATAACACAGCCTTGGTAGATTTAACTAAACTGCAACAACTTTTCAAAAGAAAACATGTGTTTTTGTTGTGGAGAGTTGTTGCCCTATGAGTAATATTAAGAAAACAGTCAAATATACTTTGAACATAGGCAACTCGGTATGAGAAGGTTTCAAAGCATCGATGGCCTGATATAACGAATTTGTGCATTAAGGTAGGTATAGTTTGGTATAGTCAATGGAGAATTTTTGCATTTGCACAGAGAAATCAATAAATCTCTTCTGTTATGTACATACTGACTTCCACCATAGAAGAAAAAAAAAGGAAAGAGGAAGATTGGAAGACAATACTTATGATGTAAGAAAGCTATACCTGTAAGATTTTCTTGAAGCCATTTTGAATTTTTGGGGCTAATGTGGCTGTTCCACCACCAAGAATACATGCGCTTGGAGTCTGTTTTTGACAAAGTAGCCATGGTTTCAACCTTCCAAGTAGAGCAGAATTTCTAAAGTTTGTCACGGATGTGGAGCTTATAAAAGTGAAAACCACAATTCAGTTGTTTTGTCCTTCCTAGCAAACAAACAAAAATGAAACGATTCAGCTTTGATAGTCTGAGAAGTAGTTATGTATTCAAGATCATCACAAAATCAACATAAGTCCAAAGTAATAAAAATAACTGTGCAGGTATACCAAAAAAAGAAATTCAATCTTCCGATAATACAGCGAATCAAACACAAACCAAAATGGGAAAATGAATAATACCAGAAAACGATTTCAAACTAAAAATTTCATAATTGCTAAATATTCAGTTGTGCCTCGTATTTATGAGCTTTAAACCAATATATCCTTTTCATAAAACGCCCTAACTCACCAAATTAACAAAAAAAATTAGTGATCAAACCTAAAGCTCAGAGATCCAAAACTTCTCAACATCTCACACAGCCACAGAAGAGTAAACAAAAGAGGAAACCCTACCCCGATCGGTCGTGATCATAACAGAATTAAGCTAAAAACACCATAAAAAGGCTGTAAACCAGTTCAGCGATCATTCAAAACAGCAACCAAACAAGTCATCAACATCCGTGTGAGTTTAGCATACAATGACGGAAGTAGCGGAACTAACAAATCAAATCAAAGACTGTGAGAGAATTTACCAGAATAATCGAAATTCAGTTGCGATTCCGATTCTGCAACTGCAAAAACAATACTATATAAAATTTACACAGCTGAAAACCTCGATTTCAACCCATTCCAGCTTGATCTCTCTGCGTTACTTTCTAGAACTAACTATGGTTGGCCCTTTTTGATTCTTTGTTGTGTAGACGGTGGCGTGGGTTTGTGTTTTAGAAGAGGAGCTGTCGGGCGTCGGCTTATGGAAATTAATAAAGTAAAACGTAAACAATGAGGACCCAATAAAACACTAAACCCAAAATGAGACAAACTATGCAAGAGAATACTCCTTTGATTTTTGACTTAATGCACATTTTCAATAACAAAATTACCAAAATACCCTTATAGAATTCCGAATTCTCAGTCCTAAAAAGTTTTTGGACCGATTATTGATTTATTTCTTGATAATGCAGTCTAAAAAGTTTACAATGGATATGTATTTATTTCTGAAAGTGTAATAATTTATTTTTTAATTTATATATGCTTATACATATATACAGGGAAATTTTGAATTCTGTCTGATATATGTAAACCAAATAAACTAATTATTATTACATATTGGTCAAACACAACAAGATTATTATTTTTATGTCAGTCAATTGATTACCTTATCGATTTGGAAAGGGCAAGATGGCATTAATATGTTTCTAGCTTTATAAATAAAATATTTTTTATTGATCATTGTTATAAATATCCAATATTTAATATTTCATAAGAATAAATCATTTATAATAATATCAAACCAAAAAATATTAACTTCACAAACGATATCAGAATGAATAACGAAACTAGCTATAAATAAAATCATGTCATCCAAATTTTGTATAAATCAGTATTATTTTTATAAAAGTTATAGTTTAATAAGATTCAGAGTAATAAATTTTAGGCTTAATCATCATGAGATAAACAATATTTATGAAAAAAAAAAAAAAAAAAAAAAAACTATAAATTGTTTGCTTAGACCATCTCCAACTCATAAAAAAAATATTTCATATATTTTTTTCTAACGTATTTAAATATTTCAAAAATACTTATTTTATTTATTAGTTTTCAATAAATCTGGTTTACATCTTTTTGTTATAATAACTTAAGAAAATTCATTACTATATATATAACCAAATAAAAAATTAATATATAACTAACTCGTGTTATTTGTTATATTATTAAAATAATAAATTATTAACCAAAAAATTATTTATAACACAATTAAACATTTTATGGAATAATTATTAAATTTAAATATAAATATACAATTAAATTAACTATAATTATACAAACTTAAAACTAAAATTACCAAAATAAATTAAATAGGTATAAACTCAAACTTGAATAACCATAAATGACGCATGTATTTTTACACGAAATTTACTGTTAATGAATAACATTTATAATATCATATTTAATTTAATATGAAAAATGCTCTTACAATGGAATAGATTTACACCAAAAATATGTTGGTTGGAGATGCCCGTGCAAATTATCGTGTCATTAAATGATGAAAAAAAATTCATATATCACCATAATCTTTTTTTCCTTTGTTTGATTATTATATTCATCTAAAGTTCGCCATTTGATTACGAACCGGCATATAAAGTTATAAATTATGTCCTATATTTTACCTATTCAAAAATTTATTTAAACAAAAAAAAAGTGTGGATATAAAGTTATAAATTTTAATTAATATTTAATAGTGATAAAATAGTTGATGTTTATAATACCTATATAAATAAATTATAAAAGTTGAAAATAAGATGTTATAGCAACGCAACTTTTTGACTTTTATGCTATACAAATCTACTGTCAAATAACATAATACTTATTTGAATAGTTCGGATTAATTTTCCAGGGTGATCAACGGATGTATAAAATTTGTTTAAAGGGTATATTGGGATATTTTCCAGAATTATAGGGGTATGCATGACACACAATAACATTTTAATGTCAAAGGTGCGGAAATGACTGGACTGGGTGACTGAGTCACTGACCCAAAGAGTTAGTGTTAGATTGGTGGTTCGAGAGGAGTAGCTGGTGCCGCACTTCAATGCCCGACCTAACCCAACCCAACCCAACAAACCAACCAAGATGAGATCGTTAGCCTGTCAACTTTGACTTTTGGGTTAGGTGTATTAATTGAGTCATGTGCTGAAAAATCATGGTTTTTATGTCAAATGCTGTTAATAAAATTTTAAATATATTTTAAAACATGGTCGGAAATCGGACTTTACCTCATCATTTGGTTAACTGTGGAAAGAAGATTGAAGAAAATTTATTGGTATCTTTAAACAATTTATATATTAGGCATATGCCGAATAATACAATTATAATTTATAATGTCCAAATATTAATAAATATATTATTAAATATAACCATAAGGGACCCTAGGTCTCGAATCTGGATTGTGAAATCAGCTTCGGTTGTCCGGACGAAATTTCAATGATCTACATAAATAGTTCTAGCGATAGAAAAAGTTCAAATTGATCTGCCGAATCCAACAACAATGAAAAATACTATCTTTACTAAATAATAAACACACAATATACTTGGTATTTTCGATATAAATGATACTATTTAAGGTACCATTATCATCATTACACCTTGCAAACATTCCCTATATAAACTAGGAAACAATTCATGTTTGCAAATGGAATTTGTGTTTTTATGAAAAGGAGTAATGATAACTTTGATGAGTAGTTAAAGGGTTGAAACCTAAAAATAATAAAATAAAAACAAAACTGTAAAAATGGTTGCTATGCCGGGATGAAAATTATCATTTTTGTTTAAAAATGTTTTGACTAACACCATCGGTCCAAACTTTTCATTTTTTTTGCGAGTGTGGTCTAATTTATTTTGAATTTTTTTTAAAATAATGATTTTGCCCTTTATATTTTCATTTTCTATTTTTTATATTACAATAACTAAAAAAAATATATATATATATATATATATATATATATATATATATATTATCATCCTCACCCCCTCTCTTTCTCTCTCTCCCATTCAGAAAAAAGGAAACACCACCACCATCTGATTCTGATGACTATTCTGGTGATTGAGGTTTCCGACAACGAGAGGATTCTATTCTGACGGCAAACCAGAAGGGTCCGACAACTAGAATGTTTTAAGGATATGGGAATGGTTTTCGAAGATGAAGATCGGCAAAGGTTTGTAGAGGCAATTATTTCGGTCACCAAGGTTTCCAGCAACAAGAAACCAATCAACAAGTCTAGATTTGTTTGTTGTGTTTCGTTAGTGGTGGTTAGATCGGCGGTAACGGTGACACACAGATCAAAGCAAGGGTTTGAAGAGCCGACGGCGACGCTGGAGTTTGTATAAAGACGGTGGTATTGTTTCGCTTCACCCCTTCATCGTTATTCTTGCTTCATCCCATGTAGAGGTGGAATAAACTCGAGCCACAGATGGAGGCAACTTAGAGTCGGTGCCGAACGACCCTAGCCAAACTCTGCTCGCCGGTGTCGAATAGATCCGATGACGAACAGATCTGGTATACAGGTCTGATATCTGGCGGTGAAATGGGTGGCACAGGCGACGTTAATGTCGTTAAATGCTAAGGTTATGGCAAGAGTTGATGGTCCGATTGGCGGTAGCGGTCGACTGGCAATGGCGGTCCGGTTGTTGTGGTGGTTTGGCAACATTGAAGAATATATATATATATATATATATATATATATATATATATATATATATATATATATATATATATATGTGTGTGTGTGTGTGTGTGTGTGTGTGTGATGAGTTTTGATAACCAAAAACGATCTTAAATTTATAAAACAGTTTTAGTGGCAAACGGAAGACTTTAAAAAAAATAACTAGTTTATTTTTAGATCATTTTAACAAAACCATCAAGAATATCCAAAATACATGAACTAGAATAATAATAATAATAATAGGATGTTTAATAGATAACATTTGAAGCCTTTGATCCTACTTGGAATTAGGGAGTTGATGAAGATAGCAAAAACTCAAGAAAGAGTTTCTCTACAATGTATCCACCATCAAGAGTAAGGCTATACTATCCATAAAATCACAAGAAATTTTAACTTTTTAAAACAACCCAAAATCATAGAATGTTTACAAAATCATTGTTTTCAAAGTATTGTTCCATATCAGCGTATCCCACAGATTAAAAGTACATAAAACAGATGATGTGTACGGTCACACCTTCGCCTTCCCGCGATCATCAGGGTACCTGAAACAATAACCAAAAATCGTAAGCCAAAGCTTAGTGAGTTCCTCCAAATTACCACCACATACAATATATCAAACACGTCATGCATAATCGAGCCTTATGTCTGACTGTACCGCCTCGCAGGGCCTACAACCTATCTGGACCGCTCCCGTGCCTTCAGCATGACTGGACTGCCTCGCAGGGCCTACAGCCTATCCGGACTGCTCGTCGGGCCTTCGGCCTGACCGGACCGCCTCACAGAGCCTACAGTCTATCTGGACCGCCCTAGGTATCTTCGCTTTCGACACAAATCATGACCGCCTCAACCCGACCAACCACAACATGTCGACATACACATAACAGATAAACATATAACCAGACATCAGACAACATGCATATTTATAGATCACTACGCATGCCAACATTCCATATACCAGAATACTTATCTAAAAGATCACTATAGCATAGTCATATCCTATATAGCAGGATACAAATCTAACATATCCATACAGCATAGCAACATACGGTAAACCAGGATATTAATCCAAAGGGTCGGCGTTAGTGCTTTCGACCCGTAAGTACAGTAAGGAAAACTCACCTCTATAGATGATAACTGAAACAACACTCGATCCGCGGTGAACACTGCTCCTCACGCTAAACCAAAACCAGAAACAAACCCAATCAATAACTAGGGGTTAACCCAAACCCATGGTCTAGTCCATTCCTCATCATGATGAGGGCAAAATACCAGTATTTTGCCCTTTATATACAAGCCCAACTAAACTAAGCCCAAAACCCCTAATGGCCCAAGGCCCAAAATCGATCCATTAGGCTTCTACTAAGAACGCCTGGCGTTCCACCCTATGACGCCTGGTGTCCGAACGCTGGGCGTTCCCATGCAAACGACTGGCGTTTGCTCATTGATTACCAACTTCCAAACCAATGTCTTAATGGCTTAAGATCTCATGTCCAAACTTCATATCCAATCATAATGGAACGTCTAAAGCCATAAAGTTCCAAACTTTATGGCCATGCATGGCTACAATGAGCCTGGCACCAAGATCCTAACTCAAAATCAACTATAAGGCTCCAAAACTCTTGCATGGAAGATTATGAAGACCCAAGATTGCATTTTTTTATGATTCTAGACTCACTATTATGCTTAAAAGGACACTCCAAACCTCTGGAGCATTCCAAACTCAAAAAGATCAAGTCTTTGGGACCAAAAAGAACATAAACTAGCCCTAAATCAATATCTAACAAATGAGACATCAAGATCTGAACTTTATACCTCAAAATGATGCTCCAAGATGTCAAGAGTCCAGATCCACAAGCTAGAGAGCAACCACAATACTCCAAATATCTTCCTTCTCTTATCAAGAACACTAAATGATACCAAAAAGATGAACCAAGGCTTCAGACTCTCATAGACACTTAGGGTTTTCGAAATGAGGATGGAGGCTGGAGTGGTTAAGGGTTTTGAGGTCATAATGTTCTTTAAATAGGGTGCAAACCCTAAAAATTAAGGTTTGGTCTCTGCGTGCAAACGCCTGGCATCCGTCATAGAATGTCTGGCGTTTGAACGGCTAGCGTTCTATGCCAAATGCATGGCATTTGGACCAAATACCTCATCATCGGGATGTTACAATTCTCCCCCACTTGACTTAGAATTCGTCCTCGAAGTCTGCTGCAGTAACTAACCCATGGTAGTGTTTCCATATCTCCACCTCGGGTCGCTCAGAAGGTCCTCCACAGAACCCGATCCCAACTAAAAGTCGGCTCATTCAAGCAGATGCCTACCCATACCATCCTTGACTTTCTAACTTTTATCACTGGATAAACCATCACAACCCTCCCAAAATTCAGAAATCCAATACCTCAACTGACTCTTAAGCAAACAAAACTATCTTGGGACGCAGTTATTACGATATCTCTTTACAATCCAAACCATACAGAACCCTTCCGACCCTGACTTACCCTGCTGATTCCACTGGGGAATCAGGACTCCTAACCATTCTCTGATGTTGAACCCTTCACCTGAAAACAAGGCGGCTCCAAACACGAGCCTCGGCTAGATAACCACTGCAGAGAGGCACAAACAACGCTAGCATGTTCCACATGTAACACCCCATTTATTAAAGTAGCCCTAAAATCTGTAATTATATATCAAGGTGCTGGTCTCGATGAGCTAACTGTCATAATTTTAGAAGTCGGGGGGTTAAAAGTGTAAGTTTCGGATTGGTTTCGTAAATAATTATGAAGGTGGGGACTACTTGGTAAATTATGGGGACTTAAATTGAAAAGATCTTGGAATTTAGGGGCCTTTTGGTAACATAAGGACTTCTATTGAAAACAATTTGTAAAAGGAGGGGTTGTTGAGTAAATTTAGGACTTAAATTGTAATGGATTTTAATGCTGGGGTTAAAAAACGTAAAATATGGATTGAGAGTGAAAGAGATTGGGAAGGAGGGACCAAAGGTGTACATTGGACAAAAGCTTCATATGAACATGTATTAAACCCGTCATTTTGCTTCACCATGCTAACCCTAACCCTAACTCTCCCAAGAGTCGCCACCTTATCCCTCCTAGCCACCGGCCGCCGTCACCGCCCATCTGGTCCGTTCTCCGACCAGCTAGCGGCCGCCAAGCAATTACCCGACCTCCTACTTTGCCGACCGGTCGAGACTCCATCTCGCTATCGTCATCAGCTGACCACGTTGCCGCCGGTGTAAACCATCAGCCTCCTAACCGCCATTGGAGTCGGATTAACCGGCCACTACGCGACCGGAGCGCCACCACTGCCGTATTTCTTCAGCCGGCGATGTGTGCGTCGTGTGGGTGTCGCGTCCGTTTGAGAGGTCGGAAGTAGACGACGGAGTTGCCGCCGCCGTTTCTCGTTGCTCACAGTCGTGAGCTCCCCGAACGCCACCTTCTAGCCATCGCGACGTCGTCGCTGCTGCCTAGCTGCCGACGAAGACAAAGGTTGCTGCTCCGACGTGATTCAGTTGTAGAGATCGGACGACCCACTGTTAAATTGATGTCGTTCACCAGTTGAGATCGCAAACCCTAGCCTCCACCCCCGTTGTTGGGGGCTGTTGAAGACGATGAGCCGTTGCCGCCTCCATCCGTCGTCTGCTGCCACCTTCCTGTCGCCACCAGCCACCGTGGCAGGTGGTTGTGTGTGTGTGTTGCTATGTGTTTAGGTGTGTGTTGACGTATTGTGTTGTCTAGCCGGAAAACCAAGAGATACACCGCCACCACCGTGAGATGGTGGCTGCCACCACATGTCACCGTCGGCCACCACAAGGGTGGTTGTGTGTGTGTGTGTGCGTTATTTGGGGTTTAGCATTGTAAATTGTAACTAGAAAGTAGAATAATGAAAGGAAACTTAAAACCACCACCGTGAGGTGGTGGCTGCCGCCTCCTACCGCCACTAGCCGCCGTGTTGGGTGGCGGTGTGCTTTAGCTTGTGATTAGTTTGTTGTGGTGATGTTTGGACTTAATCGGACTAGAACCCTAACCACCACCGTGAGGTGGTGGCCGCCGTCGTGAGCCGCTGTTGACCACCACTACCCGAGGTGGTAGTGGGTGGTGCCCAACTTGTAAAACCCTAGTGGGCCTAATGAAACCCTAATGGGCCAAGGATTTAGCTTTTGGGCCTAACTGGGTTGTGAGGGGTTAGAAACCCTAATTAGGGTTTAGAAAACCTTAATTTTGGATATATGGGCCTTGAACTTATCGGGACCCACATTTGGGCCATTAGAATGGAATTGTGAATTACACCCAATCACACCATATGATTTATCTAGTAGAGTGATGGACTTAATGGATTAAGTCCTTAATGGGTTAAGTGAGAAACACTTAACCATAATTGTCATTATATGTGAAACCCTAATTTCACTTGGGCCTTGAGTTGGTTCTTTCTATTGGGTTTTAGTAATTGGGCCAATAATGGGCCATCCAAGAATGATCATATGGACTAGAATATTTAAATGGGCTTTAAGGTAAGGCCCATATGAGGGTTTGGGCCCAATTTGGAAAATTGGGCCATAGATGGGCCATAGTTGGGCCTTGGTTCATTATTAGACTTTTGGGCCTTTAGATTGGGCCTTGGGCTTGAGTCAAGCTAAGTTAGGGGTAAAGTAGTCTTTTACCCCAAGCATGGATTTATGGATATGTGTTGAAACCCAATCATTAATTGGGTGTTATTTTGATGTTGACAGATTCGGGAATCTGTCATCCAGCAGCTAGGGTTTTGTTAGCGGGACTTCAGCAGTGTGAGGTGAGTTCTCTTCCAGTAGGAACGGGTCTAAGGCCACAATGCTGGCCCGTTTAGATGTTAGTAGTTCCGGACTACGGTCCGATGTCGGGGCGGTCCCGAGAAGAGTATATGTATGCTTGATGTCTTCGTGATTCATGCATGTTGTGTGTTATGTGTTCCGGGGCAAGCCCGATGTATGTTAG